TCTTGGTCTTTTCTTCTTCTTCAGCCTTTGTAATGATCTTTTGCAATCTTCATGGATTATTTTCTTGATATCCTCCCAGAGCTCATTTGGTCTACTCTCATTGGTGTTTAAGGCCTCAAACCTGTTCCTGAAATGGTTTTGAAATTCAAATGGGAGAGTCTTAAGGTCAAATTTTGGTTCCTGTAGACTTGATTTAATTTTCCTCAACTTCAGCTTGAACTTGCATATCAGTAGTTGATGGTCTGTCCCACAATCAGCACCCAGCCTGGTTTTCACTGCTGATATTGAGCTTCTCCAGCAAGTCTTTCCACAAATGTAATCTATATCATGATAGATGTAAAAAATATTGAAACTGTAAACTATTACATCTTACTTGAACCCACAGTCAACAGTGTTGATACCAAAAGTCAGGAGATTGGGAGACATAGAACATTGAGAGTCTGCTTTCAGGGATTGTTTCAAAGTCCTGAAGAGCAATGATGTAATTTTAAAGACTAAGATATACTTGATCCAAGCCACATTTTTTTCAATCACCTGCAGTGCATCTGAGAGCTGGACAATGAATAAAGATGATAGGAGAATTGATGCATTTGAGTTGTGGTGCTGGAGAAGAGAGCAGCCCATGGACTGTTATAGAAAAACAAATAGGTCTCAGCGAAGTGGCAGCCTCTTTGGAGACAAAGAAGGTGACACTTCATTGCAAATACTTGGACACGTTGTAAGAAGAGGCACACCATGCTTGGCAAGGCAGAAGGTCAGCAAAAGAGAGGAAGAACCTCAATGAGAAGGGTTGATACAGTATTTGCAGCAATCGGGTCAAGTGTGTGGAGGGTGATGAGAAAGGATATGACAGAATTCAGATCTATTATTCACAGGGCTGTCATAAACCAGAGCTGACTCTAAGGCACTTTGTTGTTGTTAAGTGCTGATCAGTCGTATATGACTCATAGACACCCTATGAATGAAAGACCTGAAAACTACAGCACTTACAACAGCAATAATATAGCTGTCTCTGTAGCTGTCTCTCTCTCTCTCCTCCCCCTTGTCTCTGTCTCTCCTGATCCTTTTCTTTTCCCTCCCCTCAGGGAAGACAAGAAGGATGGACTGGTCTTCCTGGGAGGTACAAGCCTCAGGGTCCCCACTTCTCCCTTCCTGGCCTCTGCCCCACTACCCTGGAGATTCCGAACTCTTCCCCGCCCACCCACTTGGCCTGAGGGAAGGGCTGGAACCAGGTCTGCTGGATCCTTGACCCTATTTAGAGGGAGTCAGTTCCCAGCCTAGTACTGTGTGGTATCAGGCCCTGCCTGCACCAGAGAGAGGTCTGGCCAGTGAGTCTCCAGTGCACCTCTCTCAGCCCCAGGAAGTGCCAGCATGGTCCCCAAGCTTCTCGTACCTTTGATCCTCTGGGTCAGCTGCATGTTCTGCTCTGGAAGTGAAGGTGCAAAGGGCCCTGTGATGGGAAGGAGAGGGGTCGCCTAGGCAGAGCTTGATCTGGGAGTTTGATTTTAATCCTTAGATTAGGTCTGGGTGTATGGTGTATGATGGGGGTGGACTCACTCACAGAATGTGCATCTTTTGGGCCAGTGTCACTGTCCCTATCTTAAGGGTGAGAAAAGGCATAGATAGGGGCCGTGACAGATATAGATACGTAGAACGCCAGAGATGCGGGTGAAATATGGGGTGAGGTGATCCGGGCTGCTGACCTGAAGCTGGCAGTTCACTCCACCAACTGCTCCTGAGGAAATGAGGCTGTTTTCTCTTCCTTAACACCAACAGCCTCGGCTGTCACCACAGATGCAGATGTGGAGACAATTACAGGGGGTGGCAGATGGGAAAACAATCCATCCAGTGGCCCCACGGGAGAAAGGCCTGCCCATCTGCTCTCACAGCAGTGCCCTCGAATCAAGTCCAACTCACAACGATTATGCCAACCCTGAACCCTGGCCTGGCCTGGGCTGTCCTCCTTAGTGGTTAGTCTAGGAGCATCTGTGATGGAGTTCCCCTCTTCCACAAAGGCTCACTGTGGGCTAGAAGAAAGAAGCTACACTGTCAATGGGAAGACACGCAGTTCAAATCCAACAGCTGCTCTGCCAGAGCAAGATGGACAGTCAACTCCTGTGCAGTTTCCTGCCTCTGGGTCGGTTCTGACTTGACAATAAGATGATGACAGCATAGCGGGGGCATTGAAATCTGAGACCTAGGTTCACTTCCCAGCCAGGGCACTCTGACTCAGTCATGCAGGGCTGGACTCACAGCACAGCTCTGAGAGTCTCAGGATGAACTTGTATCTGGCCATGGACTAGTAACTTGACATTTGCCCTAAGGTGCTGAAAGACCCAGGAAAGAAGCAGGGGCCTCTGAGATGTTGATGTGGTACTTTCTTAAGGGGTGACTTACTCAGAGGCAATGCTCTGGGCAGTGATAGGGCAGGCTTGAGTCTCAAAGCCTCTCAGTGGGGGCTCCAAGCCAGAGCTCCAGAGAGCTGATGACTTCCCAGTAGGTGATTGTGGTGTTAGATTCTAAGTTGGCTTTTTTTTTAAGTCATTACAGTTAGCCCCCTCTGGTTTCCAGCTACCTTAACTGCATACATATGGTCTTGCATATCACAAACAGCTGTGGGACCAGGATAAGAGAAAGAGTGTTTCTTTCATTGCAGAGAAAGACTTGTATAAACAGAGGATCCCTGAAATTAAGGCCATGGTTAAAGGTTTTTGCAGGTCTTGTCAGATGCTTGAAGGAGAAGCTGACTTATACCTGCTCTGAGGCAAACCTTGCTGGATGATTTGGATTTGACTGTTGAACTGAAACCAGAGCCTGAACTAACTAAGGTGTTGTGCCTTGGAATTTGGGCTGAAACCTAGACTTGCATTCTTTGCCTTCTCTACTCTCCAATTTACTTCCCTAATAAACCCCTTTCTCTGTACCACAGCTGAGAGTCTGTGAGTCAGCAATAAGTAAACATACCTCTCACTGCTGCTGTGACTGTAGAAACTCCATGGGGCTGGTCTAGGGACTCTTTATCTTCTTTCTGCTCTGTAGCTGGATGGGGCTATGTTCTTCTCACTCCCTCTGATTTTTTCAGAGAGACACTCATGCCCCTCTTCCTCCATGGCTCATTTCACCCTCTATTAGGCCATAGTCTTTGTAATTATTTGCTATGCGTTAGAAAGCTGGACAATGACTAGGGATGATAGAAGGAGAATTAATGCCATTGAGCTGTGGTCCTGGAGAAGAGTATTGAATGTATCATGGACAGGTTCATCCTAAGGAGGGTGAAAGCAGGCTGCTCCTTGGAGGCAAGGATTCTGAACTTTCGTCTGACATCCTTTGGACAGGTTGCAAGGAAGGACCAGTCCTTGGAGAAGAACATTATGCTTATGAGGATGAAGGGACAGCACAAGGGAGGAAGACCTTTGTGAGATGGATTGATTCAGTAACTGGGATAATGGGGGTGGGTGTGTCAGAGACAATAAGATTGGCAGAGGATAGAGAAGGGTTTAGGGCTATTGTATTGTATTGTATGATTCAATATGAATCACTTCAACTTGATGAAACTTAACAACAGACAGTGATACATGACAGTGACTTAACTATGAAAGTAAGCCACCAGCAAGGAGGTACGTAGCTATGCTCAGTTTTGTTTTTCAAAAAACCTGTTCTCCCCTCATTCTCACTCTCACGTCCTTTCCTTCAGCAGATTTGAGCCTGAAGGTGGAGTGTCTATCCCCCAGGTACCCGATCAGCGTAATTTGCTCCTGGTCACTTTCTCCAGCTCCAAATGCCACTACGCCCACCGAATACATCGCCACATACAGGTCAGAGAACCACAGGGGAGAACAGCCTTTCTGGAGACCCCATAGTTCAGAGAGCAGGATGGGTTCTAGTGCCTCTGGAAGTTCCTTGGAAGACAGTCCCAGTGAACCATTTCTGACCCATCAACAGCTCAGATCCTTTGGGGGCCCAGTTTTGTACTGACACACATAAGGTTGGCTGCTGATTTTATTCTGAGTTCGTAAAACTTGCCATTGAAACACAGATGCACAGGTTCCAAAGGAACTTTTAAATGTTTTACAAAAAGAACAAAAGTGCTACCTTGAGGCTCTGGTGGCATAGTCCATAAGGAGTGCAGCTGCTGACCCAAAGGCTATGCCTCTCTGAAAGTACGAATCCACCAGAGACTCCAAAGGTCAAAGATAGGCAGTCTTCTCAAATGTGATTTATAGGCTCAGAGACCTGATTCGGGGTGGGGGCTGTCAGTTCTGAGTCTCTTCTATCTTCCCAGCAATGAGTTTGATAATTTTTGTTTGTGTGTTTTGTGTCAGGATACTAACTTAAAAGTCATGGGTTCAAGTCCAGTAGCAGCTCCACAGAAGATAGATGAGCACTTTCCTCCCTTAATGATTTATAACTTCAGAATCAGGTGGTGGGCTTAGAACCCAGGGGGCAGCCAGATGGAGAGGGTCATCCAGGGTCTCAAAGGCTCAGAGTCAATTCAATAGTGATAAATTTGGCTTAGGAATTGCTAAGAGCCTGTGGCAAAATTGAAATTAGGGGAAATGAGATGAAATGAGGTCACACCCAGAGGCACTTGCTACATCACAAGTGTTCCATACCCACGCCTGGGTGGTGCCTCCTCTGCTGCCCAAAGAAAACAATGGGAATATTCCAGGAAATTCTACCTGATAGTGATGAGGTATAGTTCTAAGATCATTCCAAGTTCTGAAATTTAAGGAGTCACAGAAATGTGCAGACCAGGATGCCCTTGTTTCAGATTCCAGAGTCTGGGATCTCTAGAACTCTGGACTATTGGAATTCCACAGGTTGGGGGTAGACATTCCAGAATCCCTTAGAATCCCAACATTCCAGCATCTTCCTGGGGATCCCCAGTGCATGCACAGACACAAGGCAGGGTTAGAGCAGGACACAGAGCTTTGTCCCCATCCCCTGGCAAACACAGACCTCTCAAAACACTCATCTCCTGCAGACTTGGAATAAATGACATGAGGGAGAGCAGGCCCTGCCAACAGCTGACACCCAACTCTACCAGCTGTACCATCCGGGACTTCAAGATGTTCTACCCAGTGCCCCATGTGCTCAATGTCACGGCCATCCTTCCTGAGGGCATCATCACCACACTTCTGCCCTTTGTGCCTGAGCAAATCAGTGAGTGTGGGCATGTGGGGTGGGGGTAGAGGCTACCAGGAGTTTCCTGCTCCTCTCTCCTCTCTCTGCTTGTCCTCCCATCCTGTCCTCACTATAATCCAGGCAGATTCTGACCACTTCATCCCCACTCCTGAACGTGGTCCAGCCCTGGTCTCACAGCTCCCCACAAGTAGATCTCCCTGCAGAGGCCAGAGGCTGCCCCTGAGCATGTTAATCTGTCCCTGCTCTCTGCCCACAGCCCTCCAGGGCAGCCACCTCCCTTAGGTAAAACCACAAGTCCTCTTCCTGCGCAGGAGATCCTGCACGCCCTCCCCAGTCCCCTTTCTGCCCTCCCCTCCTCCTCCTCTCTCCTCTTCTCACTCCACTCTCATCACCTGGGATTCCTCACTCTCCCTCTAACTCACTCAGCCCACGGTATCATAGGGGCTTTGCACAGGCTGCCCCCACTGCCCGGAAGGTTTTCCCACAGATACCACCTGGCTTCCTTTGCACTTGCTGCAGGGAACTGCTCATGGGCCACCTCCTCTGTGGAGCCTTCCCTGAGCACCTTGTTAAGTAGGAAAGTAAGATGGTGCAAGAGCTTTAGGGAAGAGTTGGAAGTTCATCAGAAGGCTAAGCACAGACTTCCAAACAATACTGTAGGAGCCCTGAAGGTGCAGTGGCTCAAGGACCTGGCTACTAACCCAATGGTTAGTGGTTCAAATCCACCAGCAGCTTCCTGGGAGAAAGTGTCTCTCATTTAGATCATCAGTTGTTGTTATTTGCTGTTGATTCAGCTTTAACACAGAGACCCCATGTACGACTGAGCGACACTGTGACGGGTCCTGAGCCAGCCCCACAGCTGCCGCTGTGCTTCACCCCATTGTCGCCGTCATCCGCCATTCATTCCAACCCACCTCAATAAGGGGTTTCCTCCCTTTTTGCTGACCCACTGTTTTCCCAAGGTTGGTGTCCTTTCCCAGGCCCTGGTTGATAACATGACAATAGTCTGTGAGATGAAGTCTCCTGCCATCTTTGCTCTAAGGCACACCTTGACTTCACTTCCTCCAAGACAGATCTGTCTGTTCCGTGGCAGTTCATGGTGTATTCAATATTATTCACCAGGCTCCCAAATCAAAGGCATCAATTTCCCTTGATCTTACTTATTATCCAACTTTCTAATGACTATGAGGTGGTTGAAAATACATTGGTGTCTGCTCAGTACACCTTAGTCTGTGAGGTGGCATCTTTGCTAGGCCTTGGAAACCCTAAGTTTCATTTTCCTCCTCCTAAAGGTTAGCAGTCTGTACATGGTAATGTAACACTGAAACACAGTCACACACAAGTATGTACTTGAGTGTTCATAGCAACATTACTCCTAAAACCCAAAGTGTAGAAGCAATCTGAATGTCCATCATCAGACGATGGAGAAACACAATGGGTCCTGGTCCCAGTGCACTGTGGATTGTCACTCAGTCGTGCAGAGGGAGAAAGCTCTGCAACGCACTGCTCCAAGGAAGAGAAAGAGGAGTAGAATCAGCTGGTCACAAAGGACCATGTGTTGTATGAGTCCATTTCCAGAGCAGGCAAACCCACAGAGTGATTAGTGGCTGCCTGGCGCTTAGGGGAATGGAGAGTGGTGAATGACAGCTGGTGTGTAAGCTTTGCTCTTAGGGCTGATGAAAATGTTCTAGAATTAGACTGAAGATATTTGTACAACCAGATGAATGGATCCTCTGAATCCTCTGAATTGTAGCTACAAAAGGGTAACATTTTGATGAGTGGGGGACTTACTGTTCCATAGGCCACCAGAGGGCGACAGTGAGGGTGGGAAAGAGGATGGGTCACAGCTTTAAAAACATTGCATTTAAAAAAAACAAAACAAAACAAAATCAATGCAGAAAAATACAAGCTATCAGCTAATGTACATACATATATAGATATCAATGCTTTATATTGGAAAGAGAGCTATGGTGATGTAGTATATGCACATACTTAATGACAATATGCAGAGTTGCAAAAGTAGAGGGAGAAAAATCACAGTGGTATACTTTTGTGAACTTAAATTTTTAAAGCTCTGTCTAGAATAAACATATATAAAGAGGTATTAAAATATTTTTATAATAATAACTGAAACAATGGATACAAAAGAGATGAATACTTAAATAATAACAACAGCAAGAACATATATTTGGCTAATGTTTCACCACAAAAGAAAATTCATAATAAATTAAAAAAAAAAAATAAAAAGAAAATTTGTTTTTGAAAGGACAATCCACTCCCAAACTTTGCTGACTGCTCTGTGTGAGCAGCTGTTTCCTCTCCTGTTTCTTGCCATCTCTTTGACGACTAGGAACTCCAGGAGGACAGAGCTGGGGTGGTTTCTGTCTTCATTCTGTGTCTGTTCTCTGGGACAGCGTTGGCCATGAAAGGGGTGCTCAGTACATACTTATTGGTTGAATGCATGAATGAATACCTACTTCTTGTCTATAGTGAAACCGGACCGTCCAGTGTACGTCCGTGTGAACCCTGCTCCTGAGAATCGTCTGCTGGTGCAGTGGTATGAACCTGTTTCCTGGCCCAACTTTGCGGGCTTGACACTCATATACCAGATTCGCTACAAGGACTGTGAAGCTGAGCACTTCCAGGAGGTGAGGAGCACAAGAGGGAGGGCAGAAAGGGGCCTGGAGTGGTACCGGGTATGGCCACCCCGGTAGATGGGACACCACACGCAAACTGTGGAGGGTCAGCAGGGCTTGTGTGCACTTTGGGGTGACTGGTGTGTAATATAAAGGAAGACAGCAATTTCACCACCAGCAGTCCACCCACAAGATGAAAACGCACCTCCAAGCATCGGCGTCCCCTGCAGCTCTCTTTGAGAGCCAGGAGGAGGACCTGCCCAGGGTCCATCAGCAGGTGGTCTGTCTGCACAGAAGCCTGAAGTCCACCTTGGTGTGATTGTTGGTGCCACCATGATGATGTCAACTCATCATGGCCTCGTGTGTGCCCTCCACGTGTCGCCCTCACCGAGGTCACTGTACTTGAACCCACTGGTCAGTCACGGTGTTATCCACCTCACTGCAGCTCTTTCTCTTTCTCGTGTTACTGTCTGGGGTTGGCTCTGACCCTGGCCCTGTCCAGGCCTGCACCCTCTTTACTGCCTGCTCTGCATCCCTATCCTGGCAGTGACCTTGTCAACCCATCTCTCTGGCCGACTCCTCTCTCACTGACTGACTTTACTTCATTGAGTATGAAGTATTCCTCCAGGGCATGGTCCTTCCCAATAACATCCTCAAAGTAATTCTACTCTCAGAACTGTGTTCAGAATAACTGAAGGACTCAGACGCACGCACATGTGTGTTCAGAAGAGCACGAGTCACGGTGGCTAATAGGTGGAAACAACTTGCTGTCTGTTCACTGGAGAGTGGTTTTACACAGACAGCGCACTCCATTTATACAGAGGATTGTTATTCGGCCATGAAAAGAAATGAGGTCCTGATATATGCTGAGGTCTGAGACATGATGCCAAGTGAAAACAGCCAGATGCAAAAGGCAGATGGCATTCTGTAAAAGTTCATTTATGTGAAATATCCAGAGTAGGTAAACCTACAGAGACAGGAAGCAGATTAAAGGGATAGAGCACAAGGATGTTACTTTGAGGCCTAAGGTGGGCCGGACCCAAGCCGTGGGACTTCAACTGCCCCCTGTGCATGAGAAAGCTGGAAAATGAATAAAGAGAACTAAAGAATAGACACCTTTGAACTGGAATGATGATGAAGAGTATTTGTATACACCATGAATTAACCAAAGCACGAACACATCTGTCTCAAGAGAAGTGCAGCTCAAGTTTTCCTTAGAAGAAAGGATGGTGAGATTTCATCTCACACTTCAGGCATTCTATCATAAAGGGCCATTCCCTGGAGAAGGACATCATGCATGAAAAGCAGAGGGTCTGCAATAAAGAGGAAGACCCCTCATTGACATGGATTAACTCAGTGGGTGCAGCAATGGGCTCAAGTACAGCTGAGATGTGTGGATGAAGGCAGACGGACACTGAAGGTGAATAGATTTGGAAGAGAAGGGTCCAAGGGAAGTAAGTGTGTGTGTGTGTGTGTGTGTGTGTGTGTGTGTGTGTGTCTGGTACTCATTGGAATGAGGCGAGATCTTATAGAGAGAAGGACAGAAGGTGCCTCATGCCCTGCTATTCAAGTGACCAAACCTCTCTCTCTGTTCTCAGGTGGGTCCCACTGAAAACACCAACTACATGATCAACTCCGTGCCACCAAATGCCACGTACTGCGTCCAGGTCAAAGGGCGGGATGTCTACAGCTATGGGTTGTGGAGTGACTGGAGCTATCTTGCCAAATCCCCCCTCATTCTCGCAAACTAGTGGTGTCCTTCCTCCCAGAACCCTCCAGAGGTGCACATGAGACCATGCTGGCCTGCATTCAGGTCCCTGACTTTGCTGCTGTGTTGCGGGGCTACCTCAGATCAGTGACTTTAACCTCTCTAAGCCTCGGTTTTCTCACCTGTGAAATGGGGGATGTTCTTCCTCTTTGTCCCACGGTGATGGACAGTGAATTACGAATGTGAGAGTTTTCATCACTTAATTAAAAAGAACAAATGATATTGAAATCGAGAGTCTTCCTCCTTTCATTCAGCGGACACAAATGAGAATCCACTGAGCTCTCAGACCTGGGCTCTGTGCTCTGGAAGCTGAGATGATAGGGACAAACAAGAGAAAGACACAACCAATTGTTTTTCTTCTGTAATTAGTGCTGACCATGGGGGCTGGGATCAAGGGACCTGGAGATGGGGGAGCTGGGCTTGGAAGTTTTCTCTGAGGAGAAGATGGGGCAGCATGGCCTTAAAAATCAGAGAATGTCCAAGGGCTTGTCTGGATTTCATTTATGTCCAGCTCAAAGAGAGACCTGCCCTTGTAAGAGTCAAGATTTGTTATATAGATCTTTGGTCTGGCCGCCATCTTAAGTCCTTTGTGGCACAACACCCTGAGTGTCTGTCTGGGCCAATCGAATAATGCCCTTCAAAGATGTCATAGTGCCTAGAACCTGCATGCAAGGCAAAAGGGACTCTGCTAACATGATTAAAGTTGTTGGTACAGAGCATTATTCTGGATTATCAAGTGATATAACTACAAGAAACTATAGAACAATATCATTCATTTCACATGCAAGCAAGATTCTACTGAAGATTTTCCAAAAAAGCCTGAAACAGCAGAGAACTGCCAGAAGTCCAGGCTGGGTTTAGAAGGGGTTGCAGTACTAGGGATATTGTAGCTAATGTCAGATGGATCTTAGCTGAAAGCAGGGAATATCAGAGGAATGTGTACCTGTGTTTCATTGATTATGCAAAGGCATTTAACTGCATGGATCATAACAAACTGTGGCTGACTCTTAGAAGAATGGGAATACCAGAACACTTTATTGTGCTAATGCGAAACCCATACTTGAACCAAGAGGCAGTCTTCAGAACGGAGCAAGGAAACACTGCATGGTTCAAAATTAGGAAGGGCATATGCCAGGGACGTGTCCTGTCTCCATACCTTTTCAACCTGTATGCAGAACAGATTATCCGGAAGGCTGGGCTCTATGAGGAGAAATGTGGGGTCAAGATTTGTGGAAGATCTATCAACAATCTGCAATATGCAGATGACACAACCCTGCTTGCTGAAACTGAGGAGGACCTGAAGCGCTTGCTGCAGAGGGTCAAGGACTGCAGCCTCCAATATGGATTGAGGCTCAATGTCAAGAAGACAAAGATTCTCACCACTGGACCAATTGGCAGCATCAGGATGGATGGTGAAGAGATTGAGATTGTACACAGCTTTAGTTTGCTTGGCTCCACAGTCAACACTCTCAGCACCAGTAGCCAGGAAATTAAAAGACGTATTGTGATGGGAAAGCCTGCTGTTAGGGACCTCTCCAAAGTACTAAAGAGCAGTGGTGTCTCTCTGGAGACTAAGGTGCATCTGATACAGGCCATGGTCTTTGCGATCACTTGTTATGTATCAGAGAGTTGGACAATGACCAAGGAGGATAGAAGGAGAATTGAGCTTTGGTGCTGGAGAAGAGTATTGAGAACACCATGGATTGCTAGGAAAACAAACAAATTCATCCTGGAAAGGGTTAAACCAGGTGGCTCCTTAGAGGCAAGGATTCTGAAGCTCTGTCTAACATACTTTGGACATGTTGTAAGGAGGGATTGGTCCTTGGAGAGGGACATCATGCTTGGGAGGGTGGAGGGACAGAGCAGGAGGGGAAGGCCCTCTCTGAGGTGGATTGATTCAGTGACTGGGGTAATCAGGATGAGTGTATAGGAGATGTGCGATTGACACAGGACAGAGCAGAGTTTGGGGCTGTTGTACATAGGGTCGCTATGAGTTGTAAGCGGCAAATAACAACAACAACAACATAGTTACAAGGGCCCATAGATGTTTAAAGGAGATAAGAACATGCCCCAGGACTGTTACAGAACTCAAGGGTTTCTTTTCGTAGTCAATCGCCAATAAGACAGATTGCAATATTCATAAATGCACTTTATAGCACAGATCTGGGAGACAGCTAGTCACCTCTAAGATTGCCTCCTCACCTGGGAGTGGTTATAGGCTCTTATAGGAGGGTGAGACATCAACCCACTTAACAACAAACTTTTGTTAGTAAAATTAAAGAATTTCTATATCTGAAAGAAAATCATTCACACCCAGATACTCCCTTTCCAGGCAAACAGGCAGATTAAGTGACAATTTACATATAATTGGGGAAAACAGCTTCAAAGAGGTAACAGCTAATCTAGGAGATGCGTCTCCTCTTCTGATAAACAGACAGATCAAAGAAAGGACACTAAGAACTCCAAGGTCAAGCAACCAGTTCTTCAGGCTGGGGAAAATTTTATAGTTTTACAATTAATACCTATATAGAGAATTCTGAACTTATTAATACCACCCTATCAGGGCCTCAGGCCAGGTTCAGATTGTCTTCCGTCAAACATTCTTCTAGGTGGTATAGCACTGGTCTGTGCGTTGCTGTACAGAGGTAACTCGTGGTTGCTGTGATGCTAAAGCCTGTGACAGTGATGTGCCAATCGTGGTAATGGGTACCCATGGTGGACAGTGTTGGCTGGAGCTTCCCGACTAAATCAAACCTGGAAGCAGGAGCGGCATCCACTTCCAAAATGGCTTGCCTCCGGAAACTCTATGTACGAACAGTGCTCAGGCTGTTTGTTCATAGGGTCGCTATGAGTCGTCTAAGACTCGACGACATTAAACAACAACAACAACAACAACAACAATCAGGGATACTAGAGAGAGAAAGCCTTTCCTCAAGTCAATGCCCTGGATACAGCAGGAATTAGAGTAGGCAATGTGAGGAACGACTCAGAGCTGAGAACCATGTGGAACCATAAGCCAAGGAAATTAGGTGGTCTCTAGAATGTAGAAAACACAAGGACTTTTATCCACTCTGGAGGCACTAAAAGATTGAAGCCCCAGCAATCCATTTTAGGCTTCTGACCTCTGAGTTTGTAAGATTAAAGTTTTGTTTCTCTGAATCACTACATTTTTGGTGATTTGTTACAAAGGTAGTAGGCAGTTCACACACTGTCTAATATAGGACCTTGCCCAGCATTTCCTGAACCTCACCTTCATTTATTATCTAGAGTATTTAATTGTTGTTTTGTTGTCAGTTGCTATTGCAGCCATTTCAACTCATAAGGATCCCATGTGACACCGTTTTTCTTAGCTACAATTAATGTATTCATTAGAGACATCTTTTTTTTAAGAACATAAATGGCTACTTTATTTATACATGGATGTTGCTGGATGGAATACACAAGAATGAAGTAGATTACTTTTTTTGAGAAGAGATGATGGAGGAATGTTCCTTTAAGAAAGACCATCAGAATGTTCTTTAGAAAGAATCATGAGACATCATCTCATGGATGTCTGGACACATAATCAGGAAGAACCCATGGCAGAGAAAGACATTGTGCTTGATTATGTAAAGGAAGATGCTCAGTGAAATAGAGAGATGCAGTCTAGACAACGATGGGGTAGAACAGTAACAGCTGTGAGAGCGATGCAGGACCAGCCAGCACAGCATTGGGTCAAACATAGAGAGTGGAAACTGACTCAGTGGAACCCAAGAACAAGAATGTGTTTGAAGTGTATCTCCTGCACATCCATGTTTATTGCTGCTTTGTTCATAATAGCATAGAATTGGAAACAATATAAGTGCCCATCAACAAACAAATGGACAAAGAAGCTGTGGAATATTATGCAGCACTGAAAAACAAAGAACTCATGAAATATTATACAAAATGAGTGACCATGGAGGACATTATGCTGAGTGAAATATCTCTAGCACAAAAAACAAATACTGCATAATGACACCGTTATAGAACAGAAATGATAAGGGGTTTGGGGAAAAGCAAATAAAAGAGGGTATAAATAAGGTACACAGCATTGAAACATATGAAGGAGAGAACGATATAAAAGGAATATAAGATTAGGTATTATTAGCATGACAAGAGTTCTGAATAAGAGTTGCATAGTAACTTAGTCAGAGGTGGAGGACTGTTGCAGACCGAGAGTAAAGTATTTTTATAATTATTAATAATGAAACAGACAACCAGGAATGAGATAAAACAGAGAGCATATAAGACAGGGGCCAGCGGTTCCAAGGACTGAAGGGCTGGATTCCAGCTTCCCTGTATCTATTGAAAATCATCAGGAAGTAAATCACAAAGAAAATTAAATGCAAATAAAGCCAAGCTCTTTCTATTGAAAACCCTCTGCTTGACTCAGGAGGGAGGAGGGGTCAGCAAATACAATGCAAGAATCTGGTAAATTCTTTTTTATTTTTTAAAATTTATTATTAATTTCAATGAAAATTTACAGAGACTTTCGGTTTCCATTCATTCTTTGCTGCACTTTTCTCCCCTCTCAGCCCTACCCCCCAGTACACTACCCTCTTGGAAAAGTAAAAGAAAAAATTCTTTCATTGTTTTACGAAACCTCCCCCAGGTCTACTCCACTATGCAAACTTTGCTCAGGACTCCTGTCATGACAAAAATACCTAATCACATATCCCTTTTGAACAGTTTTCTCCCTCATCTGTTTCAATGCAGTATACATTATTGAAACTATCTTTCTCAGTCTCCCCCCAACCCCGAGGTCAGTCCTGTTTTACAACAGTGACATCGTGCAATATTTGTCCTTTTGTGACCGAGATACTTCACTCAGCATAATGTCCTCTAGGGTCATGAAATTTGGAATAATATTGCATGAGTTCTTTATTTTTCAATGCAGCATAGTATTCCATTGTGTGACTATACCACAGCTTCTCTATCCATTCATTTGTTGATAGGTACTTA